CATCATCACTTGTGATGAGATGCCGTATCATCGCTACAAGCTAGAGACAGGAATGGCAGGCCACGGAGTGGTGACACACAAATTCCCCATCAAAGAAAATGTTCAAGACACTGCCTTCAGGTAAAGAGATGGGCACTGTCCTTTGGGACAGGAAAGGGGCGACCCTTCTGGATTTCCTGGAACTTGGACAAACTTTTAACTCTGAGCTCTGACTGAGCTGAAGGCTCAAACTGCCAGTCAGGCCAGAGAAAGCAGCCTTTCCCTTGCAAAACCTTGTAAAACCATAATGCCAGGCCACACCCCATTCAGAAGACTGCTGATCTTGGCTGGGCACTCCTACCACACCCATCAGGTAGTGCAGACTTGGTGCCTTCCGTTTGGGCCGATGAAAGATGGGCTGTGTGGGCAATGTTTTCCTAGCAGTGATGTTTGCCACAGTGGCTGTGAAGCAGTGGGTCACCTCCACTGCAGATTCTTCTGAGTGTGGCATGCAGGCTCTCGTTCATCATGGGCGACAACGCACACCTGATGGTGGTGACCGCACTGGAAAGTAATGCCTTGTGGCTGAGAATTTGCTCTATCGAATACCGTTACTGTGCTCACTCTGTTGTAGTTTCCATGGAAATAAACGGGAGGCATTACTTTCGGTGCGATCCACCCGCGTTTCCCAGAACTCCCCTCCCCTCGGGATGCCCGTGCCGGGCCGGGCCCCGCTCTCACCGCCGGTACTCCGCGTACTCCTCCAAGGCCGCCGCGTCCGCCGGCAGCCGCTCCATTCCCGGACCGCCGGGCAGCGGCCGCGCACCCCGAGCCTTGCAGGCGCGCACTGACCGCGCCGCGCGGGGAGCGGCTCCGTGCTGCGCTCAGCCCTTGGCTGTTGCCGTTACGGACCTGTTTGCTTCTCGTCCTGCTGCCGTGCCTGTAAGCAAACAGAAGTCCTGGAAACGTTCCGTGTGAAATAAAGGCTAACACAGCCCCGCGCGTCTTGGCTTTCACCGCTTGTTCCTGCAATATAACGGAAGCCATCGTTGTTCAGGGTAGTAGGGGTGGAAGCGGCCAAGACGCGGATTCGTCACCCACCGTGCAGTAAGTCAGTCAGCTGTCACGTGCTCGGACAGGCATAGCTTATGCGGTTGAGGACTGCACACCCAAACCAGCCATGTACAAATCCTCGCCTTGAACTTTTTTTGCAACGGGGAATTCACATCGCTGCTCCATGGACTGCTGCTCTGACACTGGCTCGTAGAGGTGACACCAGTTCTCATCGCTGGTACTACCCACCACATCACTGTTCAAACACCTGCTGTTTGGTCTCTATAAACATGCAGCAAATGCTAATGAATGTCAATGGTGCCATTTTTTCCCACATGGAGGAACTCAGTGACAGCCCTTTGCTTCATCAATGCTTCCACGTCAGATGCCATCCTGTCAGATTGCCCCTCTGCTGCCATCTGTCACACAGCAATGAAATGTAACAGGATATTGATGGGAAGCTTCAACCTGTGCTGCCATACCACCAACATCCACCTCTGACATCGTGGGCCAACATAACGAAATCAGAGGCATTGCTTTCAGACCTGCCTTCATATGTTGTGTAATTCTTGATGCTGAAGATAACTATTATGACTCACCCCACAATGTGCACATTTAACAGAGAGCCCACCTCCCCTTGGTCTTCCCCCACCCTCTGCCAGTCCTGAATGTAATTTTGTACATCCTGAACCTAAAGGTTCCTCCAGGGTTGAACTTAGACATTACGGAGCATTTCATTCTGGTGAATGAAGGCATCTACACAGAATGTGAAGGATGTGACCCAGCGGCAGTATTTGCTGTACAGCACAGTCCCTATCATTGTGAAGTAATCCAGAGCCTAATCTCTTAGTTTAGGACTCTAATCCAGAGTCCTAAAAAATCATTTGCCATTTACCCAGCACAGCTTGGAAGATCTATTTCATGTAGAACACCAAAGCTGCCTCCTACAATCATAAATGTTACCTCCAACTCATTAATGTTCTTTGAAAGCTCATCTTTTATGAAATAAATCTTCCATAGTTCAAGACAAAAGGAGGCCAACTGAAGGAACAGCCCATAGCCACAGGTGCTTCTGGCAACCTGCAGTTCCCCCTCAGCTCTCAAAGCACCACAAGCAGCAGCACAACTCCTTCTGCAGCAGGCAGACCACAGTGGTTGTTTCTGATACTTACTACATCATCTATGAATTGACTGCCTGATGCAAACACATGGACCCTTGCACTTCACACACAGTGACTGAATGTGAGAGCATAGGATATGGTGTATTTTTCTGGACCGAGCTTTAGGAAATTGATGTTGAAATTGCACATCAGCATAAGCCATGAGCTCATACTCAGGCTGTCACAGCGAGAGGGAAAGCGTTTCCAAGCAGTGAAGTGACAGATACCTATTGAAAAATTCATGGCTGTTCAAAGAAATCTCTGGACTGCTTTGCACTGGGCAAGCCATCAGCAAGGAAACAGAAGGTGAAGAGGTGTCAGTGTCATAAGGACCAAGGTAGTGCTTTGCCAATGCCTCCCCCAGAGAGCTGAAACCACAGTGACACTGTCAGCTTTCCAGCAGGATCTGAGCAAGGTGACAGGGCATATGGTTGGGCTGTTAGCCCTGTGGCTATGCCCCACGTATAAGAAATGGCAGCAGAGCACCAGCACTGCAGCACAGATCTGCCCCTCTGAGCTCTGTACCCAGAATTTATACATCTTAAAGGCAGAAATGATGTGGGAGCAACTCATGGTGGCAGTCAGCGCTCCTGCAAAGCAGCAGTTAGACGAGGAAAACAAATGTCAGGAATGTCTCTCCAAGAAAAAAAGAATTCCTACAGTGACCAACATTTTGAAACAGACAGGGGAGATGGAACTTCAAAAGCAAGAGGACAAGCCCTGCAAACATGGAATTAGCATGTACTGTGAAACACAGCGCTGTACAGGAGCTGCACTAAAGCTGGAATGCCTCATCTGTATGCACATTTCATCAGTGCCAGAGATCCCAGCTCTGCCAATAAAGTGAGAAGTGGCTCTGGCAAGCTTGGGTCACACAGAAGGAGCAGAGTTTCAGTATCACACCTTCCCATACCTCATCCAAGAAACTTTCATATAAAATGGTGCCCTTGAGTAGTTTGGGTTCAGAATGCAGAGCCATGTTTCTGAATAGGACAGCTGTTGGTGAGGGCTACAAACATTCATCTGTACCATATTTCAGCATCAAAATACCTACAAGCAGTCAGTGTGAAGGTGTTGGGACTAAGAAAAATTTTTGTGGGTCACCTGCCCCAGAGCAACTAATCCTCTACCTAAAAAACCAAGGCTCTATTAACAGGTTTGATCCCAGCAAGTGATCTCTGTGACAAAGAGCCAGTGTTCAGCTCAGCAGTGTCCCAGCATCTGTTTGGATCCAAATTTGTGCTCACCAGTTTCTTTGGGAATGGACATAAAGACTTCAACAAAGAAATCCATTTCTAAAATTATAACATGGCTATTTCAAGCACCCAGTGCTCCTGTGTCACAGCAAAAGTACCGGAATACATTTTGGATTCAGAAAACCTTGTCTTGTCTCCCATTCCTTTTAAGAGATTGTTAGTGGACATCTGAAATCACAATCATTAAATACCAAGCCAAACCAGTCTTTGCACAGTAAACCATCAGATTAGCACATGTGGGGCTTTCCGCTACTGCAAACAAGGAGTGCCAGAAGGTAAGTTCAAAAAACACAAGGCCAGGCTGGATGTGGCTCTGTGCAGCCTGGTCTGGTGGTTAGTAACCCTGCACATAGCAGGGGGGTTGAAACTAAATGATCATTGTGGTCCTTTTCAACCCAGGCTATTCTATGATTCTGCAAAGTCCAGATGGCTGCTTTACCTCCCGTGTCCGCCATGTAGCATACAAGCATTGCTGGCCCAAGCTCTCGGAACATATTGAAGTGGGCTAAACATATGGACACTCACCCACAGGACAGCTCCGGGAGACCTGAGGTGCCACCTACACATCAAAGGCAACAGATTAAAGCTGCGCAGGGTGCTGACACTCTCCATTAACACCCTCTGTAACAATGAAATGTGCAACTTTTAAAAAATCCTGGCAAGTTCGAGAAGTGCTTTAAAAATCACCTCAGTGGAATACCTATGTAAATAAAATAGAGCTGATTTATTAAAGGAATAATAAGTAAATCAGAAATGACTGTATTTTAGACTCTTAAGTCATCCTTTTTAAGTAGTAATCAGCCATTCTGTTTGTATGTGTTTGGTAAATGATCATCTCTAATTAGCTGCTCCAAAATTGAGACCAATTAGAGTAGCATAAAGAATAATGGAAACAGTCTCCATCCAATTGTTTCCTCCTTCCACACTTCTTACCAATATTCTGATATACTTGAAAACAAAAGCTATCGCTATCCGCTTCTAGCGGTGACCATACAATATGCTACAATTAAAAAAAACAAACCTTATGATTAGCTCTAGCTCACGGGCACGTAAAAGATGTCAACACATTTCTTTTCAGTTTAGCCATCATAGAAACAGACCATGATTAGACATCTACTGACCAACCACAGGAAGTTGATGAATGAACCAAGGGCCAACTCATAATGAAAGGTTTTTACTGGAGGGCTTAGAAACAGAGGTGGGAAATTTGTAGTAATTACATCACTTACTGATAATTCTGCAGCACGTGATGCCACTGGCATTTCAGTGGTGTGATTACACTGACGTATATCATGTGATTTTTTTTCCTTCAACTTGGGCCATATTTTAAGAATCTTAATGACATTTTCAAGAGATACAAAATGTATGTGTGCATCATCCCAGAGAACCCGAGGCTTTGTGAAGCATCAATTCAGTAACAGTCTATTCCATGGGCGTCCAACCTTTTGGCGGGCCTAGACTTGATGATTCCACAGATCTTGTCAACCTTAATGATCCTGATTGCACAAAGAGGAATTGTCTTGGGCCACACAAAATATACAGTTGATGTATAGAAGTTACAAAACTTTGTATTTTATTAAAATATAAAAAATAAGGCAACAAAAACAAGTGGGATACAACATTGCAGAAGTCTGATTCACCTTTTTAGCTGCTATAAAATTAAAACTTGCCTCTGAAAGAAAACCTTTTCCGTACTGTCAAATATATTAGCTCAAATCCTGCGGGCAGCCAGCCGGTTGTGCAACACAAACTAATCAAAGTCCTGGGTAAGGAGGTCGCATTTGGGTTAATCGTTAAAGATGTCCACTGACACCCTGTATCATCTGAAAAATAAATCACCAATTAACTGGGTTAAGAAGTTTAGTTCATTCCATGAATTTGATGGTTTTGAAGACATTTTAAGAAAACTTAATAAACTTAGATTTCAAAGTTCATGTAATTACTTTCCCGATCATTTTCCTGTGGCAGTTAATTCCACATTAAGTATCTGCACAAGGAAACACTTGGGTCCCTTGTGCAACTTGCCTCCTTCATGAGTCTGACGATGCCATCTGGAATTGTCAGCATTAGATAATTCTACTCGAAAATATTTGCATCTATCTAGCCAGACCCCATTAACGACCGCATTAAAGAAAAGCGAATATTGAGTAGATACTTGGAAAAATAGACAACTGTGCAGCATATTACTGGCTGCCAAGAAGATGGATGTTTCAGAGCACTGTCTACAAAAACTACTACATTCTTGTGCTACGCTGCTGTATTACTACTTTTTATTTCATTGGACACAGATCAGAAAAATTCTGTGATCCCAACAATGGATGAACAGATTTGCTTTGAGCAGTTTTAGTGGGCGTCAGTGGAGTATCTGTTCATCCATCCAAAGTGTGGGACCACTCAGCACCAAACAGGACCGGCCACAAAGAAAGGGGCAAGATGTATCTTGGATACTGATACAATGCTATACACGCCCTAGCAATACTGCTTTCGTGTAAGAATAAGTACAACAAGCTAGTTGAATGTTTTGAGTTTGCTTCTTGATAAACTGTATTATGAAAACAACATTCATACTATTGCTTGCTCGCTGTTCTTCCTACATACACACACACACACACACATATATATATACACACACATTAAATACAAGACAACTCGTGTAAGTCATTGTGACACTGAGAAAAGCAACTTCTCTTACTCACTTTTAATTTAAGAGTGGGGTCTTCATGATTAAAGATTTAGAATAGGCCTGTTTTGTTACATTTCAGAATCTTTCTCCACTCACCTCCAGTCTGAAAGTTTCCCAAACATTAGACAGTAAGAGGATCTGGTGATTCAGCTGCAAGTGTAGTAGACGTTACCACTAAACCTCCTACTAGACCTCAGAGACGTACAATTTTCCTGAAACACCTGAGGCACATTAAGAATGACAGCACTGTTAAAAAAAAAAACACACAGGAGTCTTTGTAAGTACAATTAAAAATTTATTTTTCTCTTTCTGCAAGGAAGTACAACTTTACACACA